CTGTTGTTAGAGGATAGTTGAGGATGATGATTAACACTTTTTTTTGAGAACCTGCACTCTAAATGTTGTAAGGAAATGTATTGGGATTTGGCTAAGCAAGACTGCTTCATCCTCAAAAAAAAAAGACTGCTTCATCCTCAAATTTGGAGAAGGTGAAGAGTTGGATTGAAGAGTTTCCTAATTAGCTGGTAGGAGTGTAGAGTAAAAACATATGTGTGTACAGCTATTTGGTATGCTGATTTGGTAAAGCATTTTTGTAATCTTCTAAAGCAGATTTTTCTTTTTATGTTTTTATTTTTATTTTTATTTTTTTTTTTGGTTTTTCTCCGGTACCGGGAACTGAACTCACGACCTTGCGCTTGCCAGGCAGGCGCTTTTGCCGCTGAGCTAAATCCCCAGCCCCCATAAAGCAGATTTTTAAAAAATCCTTTTTTGTATTGTAGATTAAGCAGTCTAGTGAATTTGTAGGTCATTTCTCAGAATAGTGTTTTAAATGAATAATCCTCATACAGTTAAGCTACAGGACTGCAAAGAAAGCTAGTAAATAAGTAACATTCTTAAAATATTAATAAAATTTGTTATAAAGTAATAGGGATATGTTTTAATTAACATATTAATCATCAATACCTAGTTTGATGCTTATTCTGCTTTTAGAATATTTGTTAGCATAAATGGTGTTTCAAGATCTGCAGCTAATACAGTGTGAGATGGTAGTATTTTTTTATTTCTGCTGCTGACAAAGAAGTACAGCTGATATTAAATAGGCTTTTCTTCCTTACTACATGCAGAATTACTGATAATCCAAATTTCATTTAGAAGTTAGTTAAAATAAAGATGTAGCAATTTTTTCCTTCAAGATGACTTTGTTTTCTAGAGTGATTTAATAGTTCTCATATTCTAGGACCACATTTCAATCTCCTTTGATGGGAAACCTCTTAAGGGGTTCCTTGTAGTTTCTACTGATCGCTTTATTTTACATGACGTTTGTTCAGAAGCTGAATATTGAGATACTGAACTTACGCTTTGGCTATGAGTTAGGGTAGGTAGGGGAAGGTGAGGAGAAGGAAACCTAATTGAACATTCCAGCTTTTATGTAGGTGAGAAATACTTTATTTTTTAATAAGTCAAGGTAATTTTATTGAACTCTGACATGAGTTGCAGCTCTTCCGATGTTTGCATTGTTGCTTATACCTTAATGTTTGGGAAACATTAAGAAAATCCCTGTTTTGCTCATTGTGAGTCACCTGCAGCTGTCACTAAGAAATTCTCAACCTTCTGACTGTCCAGGGGCTGTGGGTGAATGTCTGTCCACACACATGGCTCCTTATCAGGCAAAGGTTGGAGAGTTTAGTTAGGTACTGCTTTAAAATGTACCTAAAGGTGCGTAGACTAGGCATGCTGGTAAGCATTCTCATGAGAAGGGACCGTGTTACTGTCTTCTCTGTTTCCAAGAGCAGTCTTCACCAGAATGGGGCGGCTTTGGAGAAGGGTGCCGTTATCAGACTGTTTTCTCTGAGGGAAAGAGTTGCACTTCTATTTCATCTGGCCCATAAATCCAGTGACTATTTTGTGAAACCAAAGTCTGATTTATTAGCTTTTTAAATTTTTTTTTTTTGTTTTTTTCGAGAAAGGGTTTTGCTGTGTAGTGCAGACTGCCCTCAAAGTCGCAGTGACCCTCCTACTTCAGCTTCTTGAGTGCTGGAATTACAGGCATGCACTACTATTAACTTTTTATAGATAGAAATATTTATATAAATATCAAATTCTTTAATATATATAAAATATCGCCTTTGGAAAAAAATAATGTGGTATAGACCAAAAGACGGCAAACTAACTTAGTTTTATTACTGCAAAAAAGAAAGAGCACCCTGGTCTAATAAAGAAACTTGATGAAGTACTTTACATGCATATTTACTCCTCAGGAAGCATTTAAGTAAATTACTGGGCAAAAGCTATCTTCTCAGGTAGGTACTGTGATCCTCGTTTTGCAGTTGAAATTGAGGCTTAAAGAAAGCAAAGAATGTGTCCAAGTCACAAAGCCGGTGGAAAGCCCAAATTTGACTCCGTGTGTTTCTGAGTCCAGAGTCTGTATTTGTGACTGTAGTAGCCAAATCTTTAAGTCTAAAATATGGTTATTATGAATCATATGTGCCAGAGTGTATTGGCAGGGGAGGGAGGGGTGTGTGTGTGTGTGTGTGTGTGTGTGTGTGTGTGTTCATGCCTGGCCCCCATCATGTCATTCTTTGATGTAATTTTTCATCTTTTAGTGTGTTTGCCATCTGCCACTCCCTCTCTGTCGTCCTCCCTGCCTCCCAAGATCTGTGCTAGGCCCGACCCATGCCCTCAGCCCTTTGTATCTCTATATCTTGATTCACCCAGCTGCCTTCAAGTGTTGAACCTGACAAATTAATTTTTATTGTTCATTTTACTTGTTAAAAGATTTTATTACTGCTGTTTACTTGTAATTGGCAATGTGGAAAGAAGATAATACATTTGTATTTCTTTATAAAGTTATAGTAAATCATTTTTACTTTTTATTTTTGAACTTATGATTGTGGGCAACAAAGTTATATACTAACTACAATCTGAGTACTGAGAAGTAATTATTCTAAAGTTCTAATGAAATAATGTAACTTGTTCCTTTTAAGATTACCACAGCATGGAGAAAGGGGAGGCATCAAAGGGCAGGTAGCAGTCAGCAGGTATTTGTTTGGTACTTACTGGTTGCCTAACACTGCCCAGTAGTGGAGGATGCGAATACTGCGGTCACCACTGCCCTTGTGAAGCTGTCGTGTGGGGGAGTGAAGGTCTTACTGCTTGGCAGGAGTGAGGATTGCAGCGTGAAGTGAACGTGACTAGGAAAGGGAAAGCCAGGGAGACAACGGAAGGAGTCACTTCTGCTAGTGCTGCTGCCTACTCAGTCTTGGCGTAGGGTGGGAAGTAAGAAGCCACAGCAGCCTTTGGTGTAACAGTTCAGGGTGGTAGAAAGTGGCCTGGGAAGGACAGCAAATTTGGCTGGCTGACATGTGACCTGTGCTCTTAGATCTGTAGAGCCCCACTGACTCCCACCACACTCTCCAGAAACCGTCAGCATTTTCACAGGGGATTGGTGCTGTAGTGAGAATAGAGGGTCCAGGTGGCTGCACAGGTCAGCCCTTGGGCTTGGAGAGGGTGACGTTGCTTCCACCATCTTCTGTTGGGACAGAGAAAGAAACTTTTTATTGCTTTTGTGTAGGAGGCCTGTGTGTCAGTTCCTACTAATGAAATCAGGCATTTGGAAGGATCTGTCCTAGGCCAGCATTTCTGCTCTCCTCTTTCTCTGTGTTAACGGTCTGAGGGATTTCTTTTCTTTTCCATTTAGCACCAGTTGCCTCTGATTCTGTTTTTCTTGGTGTGGTCATTACTTTGTGGGCTGCTAGTGCCACGCATTTGACCGTCCTTTGCCTGTCCCTCAGCTCCAGTCCAGTCCGGGCCAGAAGCTGAATGCATGTTTTTCTCGTTTTGTGCACTCTTCATAGCTGGCCACTTGTGAGCCAGCTGTGTCGGGGACAGCAGCTGCGGGGCGGGGAAGCTGAGTGCCAGGCTCCTTTCTGAGGGGAGAATTAGAGCGGCTCCCTAACAAGGTACTAGATGGACCATTGCAAAGTCCCACTGACCATTCACATCAGTAGTCCCTGCAGCTGGGACACTAGGACTGTGACAGTGCATGATGCTCTGGTGGCTCTTTTTTGAGAGGTTTGAATGTAACCAGTATTAGACTAGAGCACTGCACACCTTGCACCCTTGCTGCCTGGAGAGCAACCCATGAAGTGTGGTAAAATGGGTGGGGTCCAGACCACTCTGCTTTCAGAGCCTCCTGCTTTTCCTGCTTTTTAGTAGGGCAGCATACCAGCAGGCTATTTTTATTTCCTGAGTAACAACATTTAGCTTGCTTTTATGTATTTGTACAAAATCCTGTTTCAACACAGATATAATACGTTATTTGGGATAGTTATTAAAATGAATCAGACTTACTTATTGTAAAGTCAATTATTTCAATCAGTTTATAGTATTTAAAAAATTACTTGTCCTTTAACAGCAGGGTGAATGAACTTTAATGATTTGAATAGAAGAACATGTATAGGACAGTGTGTAAATATAAAGACTTATATGTGTAAAATTTTTCTTGTGGGCGTTTTGCTTACAGCTTTGAAAGATTTAACATCCTTAGATGGTTTGACCTTGGTGCTTCAGATCTGGTCTTTTTGTTGTTGTTGTAAAGTGCTATAGTGGTTGCCTATCATGTTTTCCTGAAGCTTCTCCCAGAGCAGAAATGAGGTGCAAATGAAACAGCTCCTTACGATTGTATATGGAATGAAGTTCAGAAGGTAGAAGGATGTTGCACAGAGGTGAGGAAGGGAGTACTGTCTGCGGCCGGGCAGTCCCTCTCCGTAGCATACTACAGTTGCAGGGGAGAGAGGCCCGGGGAGGAAGAGGAGCTGGCTTTAGAAGTTGAGATGACTGTGCTTGATTGGAGCATATAAAATTTCAGCTGACAGTTTTTAGTGCACATTTTATCCTTTATGAGTAGAAACCATCTGAAGAACTCTCAGTTCACTATCTACAGGGGCTATTTGCTGGCATTTTTAGAAGAAAGATTTTATGTAGATAGATCATGCCTTGTATTGAATTAGTGTTTGATTTCAAATCCAAGAAACTGTGATCCCACTGAATTCACCTTAAAAGCATTTAAAAATTTGATTTTTCAGTCCACTGCACACCAAAAAACAAATCAGTAGCTACTCCGGTGGAATGCTAACAGGTGAAAATAGCTTTGAGTTTAGCTTCATGAAAGTGTATTTATGTATAAGTTGTGAAATGTAAACTGTTCTATTTTGATTTCTGAAATTTTCTTGTACCTTTTAAAATTATGTATGTTAGAAATATATAATGGGATTTGTTTTGGTATATTTTTTAGGGATATTTCTGAATGGTAATTAACACTTTTTTCCCACTTGCAGAACTGGCTAGATCCTGCAAAAGAAATAAAGAGACAGCTGCGAAGTGAGTATTTAAATAATTATACTTTGAAGTTGTTAATCTTTACATCTGTTTCCAACTTGAATACAATTTATAGGTTACAGACTAGAATAACTAATAAGACGATAATAGAATGATCCATTCTGTTTTGCAGTTATACCATCCCATACCTCAATGCTAGGTTGTGGTTGTTAATTTTGTATAAGGTTAAGGACCCCAACCTTTCAGGAGGCTCACGGCTCCCATACCTGTTCCCTCAAGGGCCTCTCATTTTGAAATAACATCTCACCCTTACCCCTTGGAAAGGATGAGATATTTTACTGTAAATTTCACTCTGTGTGAGAAGGCTTGCAGTAGGCAGACGTGACACTTGCTGTGTCCACTTCGTTGTGGAAGTGTGAAGTTTAATTGGCATCCGTGTGCACTGTTCCAGCTTTACTGGCTGGAGCACCCCCAAGTGAAGGGTGAGCAGAGCATCTCTGCTCATGGCCTTCTTGGCGTGGGCATTGAGCCTTGGTTGTAGTTAGGCTTGCTTGCTTCTTTCCTCCCACTTCTCCTTTGTTCTATAGCACCAAGAGTGGCCTCAGGTGTCCCACTCCCGCGTGGCGGCTTCTTCCATGCGCTGTGCCTCTGTGCGTTGCCTTGTCTGCGATAGCTGTGCTAAGAGATGGTAGCACCACACGTCTCTGACAGGGAATTTGTAAACCTAATTTACTTCAAAGTCTGTGATGCCAGAAGCAGGAGAGGCAGGAAACCACAGCAGCTGGAGAGTTCATACTGGAGAACAAATTCCTTAGAGCCTAAGAGCAAGGCTGCAGAGCTATTCCGGGAGAGGCCGTTGCCCTGAGAACTAACCTGCAGATGCTCTGTATTGTTGATTGCGTCTCCCTATTAATTGTTTCTAACGTCAAGACCTGGAACAAATCTCTGCTTTCATTCCTGTCCTTCCCACATCCCTCTGTCTTTCACTTCAGGGTCTCTAGTTTTTTTTTTTTTTTTTTTTCTTTTTCTTTACTTTTTCATGATTAATCTTAGTTTTCTTATTTCTTTTCTTCTCTACTTTTTTATTCTGAACATATGCATCTTTTTCCACCTTTTTTCTTTTCAGAATGTCTTTGATTAGAGCAGCCAATCCTCCTGGCTTGCCCAGACCTGAGGGTTTCCTATGTTTGGGACATTTGGTGCTGCTGGAATGGTCTCAGACAATCTGGCACCTTGTCTTTTATTTATTCCTGGCTTTCCAGTATTCATTGGCTGTTTGCCTTCCTTTTCCTCTTTTTCTTCTTTGCATTTTTTATCTCGGTGTTTCATCCATTTGTGTTTGCTTCATGCTGGAGTGGGGGGATAGGTAGGCACAGGGGCACTGTGCTGATGTTGTGGAAGGAGCTGAATCAGAGAGCTTTGGAATTTTTCCTTTTCTCCCTTCTGCAGCTGTGGGTGCTCTGTAAAGTGTATGGATTCAGGGAGGTACAGATGCTTGGTTCTTGCTCTTACTCATTCTCTGAACCAGACATGCCAGGTGACCTGAGCAGGGAACATTGCTGGTCGACTTCTGAGATAGGATTGATATTACCTTGAATTGTTTTCTATGGCTTTGTTTTGCCCCTTATTTTAAGATTATGTGTGTGTGTGCCACTCATTTCAGAGTCGTAGATACTTCCTGTTGGAAATAACCTTTTGGGAGAAGAATTTTTAAAGAGTTTCAAAGCTTTTGGAAAAAGCTTTTCAAGAGCAGTGTTTTAAAAACTTTTGGAAGGCAAGACTTGCTGATTATGAATCACGTTTTTATGTTTTGATTATTTGTGAAGTATTATTAGTTTTTAGAGTTATTTCAGGACTTTTGCCCTTGTGCTTGGCAAGAGTAGCAGCAGTGACAAATAGCATCTGACTTTTTTAAACTGCTGGAACCAGTTCTTTAACTGGTGTGCTGTGCTGTGTCCATCGTGAGAGGAGGTTTAGGAACTGAAATCATAGCTGTTGGATTGACTTCTTTCTGCTTGTGTTAGATAGCTGAAGGAGTTCAGTCTCTGCTGTGATTTTATGGTTACTTTACAGTTAATAGGCAGTATCAAGCATAAATATTAATTGTTTGAGTTACCTATGACAGTGCACAAACCTAATGGTTCTATTTAAAATTTGCCTTAGAAGCATTTTCTCAGATGTACACAAATAAGACTATATGTCTAAAAGTTTATATATGATGAATATGTAAGCAGTTTACACCTAGACAGACTTTTTATATTACTAGATAGAATGATGATAGTATATAATTGAATTAAAAGTTTAACTTGAAAATCGCTAATATTGTAATTAGCGATTAACTTGAAAATCACTGATATATTTTGTCACTTAAAAAAAAGCTTGGGGCTGGGGATGTAGCTCAGTAACCGAGTGCTTGGCTAGCATTCATGAGGCCCTTGTTATGTCCTAGTACTGAAAAGAATAAATGTTTGCCATTATTAGGTTTTGGAAATATATCCTAAATTATAAGTGTTCTGGCAGGAACACACACCTATAATCATATCCAGGCAAGCATGTCCTAGTGTTAATACCTGAAAAACAAGCAAGGAACCATTCAGAAACGGTAATCTTGTGATGACTTCGCTTGATTATGGATTAGCAGTCACCTTAAAGAAGTATGTGTGCATGCGCAGTGCATGGATGTTGGCACAGGCAGCACAGTGCTGTAGGCCAAGAAGTAGCGTCTCTCTATATTCAGGGAGACCCAGTATCCCGTTACTATGCTTTGAATGTGTAAAGCACAACTGAAATCTATTTCTTGAGTGCAGCATGAGTAACTTTATTAGTAGAATAGTGATGCATGGAGCCAGAAATCCAGCAGGACATGTGTATACACAGTAGCCATTCAGTGGAGATCTGTTGACTTTTGAGAGAAGTCCTGTGCTAATGATGACAAAAAGGACAAAAGGACAGGCTGAACAGGAGAACAGAATTCAAGAAACTTTCAAGTCCATAAATTAAAGTTCCCGTGCAGCCTTCAGATATGTGCGGAATGGAGTAGTTTACAGAGAGACAGCTTTTTATTTTTATTTAAAGATACAGTGAACTTTGAACAGAACTTGAAATTCAGACTAGTGGGGTTATTTAGGTTCTTTTAGGACAGTCACTTCAACTCTCTCCTTGTGTTTGTTTTCCTCTCTTTTAAGCCAACAAGAATACAAGGTAGAAAACTTAATAAATTTTAACTTTTATGATGTGGTTTTTCTATATAGTCATTCCTTATGCCCAACAGAGCAAGGTATATGTAATATATATAATATACTGTACTTATACTTCATAAAATTGGGAAATAATTTTATTATTTTAAAGTATTCTGAAGTTTTTTTTTTTTTTTTCTGGTATCGGGAATCAAACTCACAACCTCACGCTTACCAGGCAGGTGCTGTGCCGCTGAGCTAAATCCCCAGCCCAGTATTCTGGAGTTTTACTGCCCATTTTCTTCCTTGGGATCTTTGAATGGGTAGCCTACTAGTCATTTCCTGCGTAGCTGCTGGGGTCACTTGATCGTTACTCCCAACAGCGTAGAAATCCTGAGTTTTTTAGAAAAATAGTGTAGAGAGCATTGAGCATTGGAGGTCATGGACTTAAAATAAAATCTTATCTTGTAACTGTTACCAGAGATTATATTAATTCTTCTGCATAATGGATCAGCATACAAACCATTTGTTGATGTACCAATAATTATTAATAAAAAAGTGAAATTGTTATCTTTTAATGGTTTATGTAATTGATTTCTATATTATTTTTTCATTTCATTTTTGCTTTATATGGTATCAGCTTCCTTTTAATAAAAAAATTCTGCCAACTGATTTATGATGGGATAAGTAAGGTATCACAAAAGTAGTATAGTATTATTTATGTTGTTTGGATAAGTAAACATGGCATTTAATAATTACAGATCTTCCCTGGATGTTCACGTTTAACGTGAAGTTTTATCCTCCTGACCCTTCTCAATTGACTGAAGACATCACCAGGTACTTTATATTTGCATTTTAAGGCTGAATCTTTACTTACAGCTTTCATTAATTTCTATGCCCTTGGAACATGGCGGTAACTTCAGGATTGAAAAATCAAATCATTTATAAGTTAAGTTTTATAAGTTTCTTTGGATATGGATATTTTCCCAAATAGTTTGAAATGTTGCCAGTTTCAAAAATTTTATTCACTGTTTAGTTTTTCTCTTTATACTTTAATAATAAAAATATTTTTAAAGATGATATTGCTAGCAGCTTTGTTCTCTACGTTCTACTTTAAAAATGGACTCATATTTCCTATTTCAGATTTTAGTAGTAAGGTGGTTTTACTGTGTAAACCATGTGTGCTAGTGTACTGGTCTCATGTTATAAAGATAATACAAGTAAATGTAAAAAATTATAAAAATCAGTTGAACTGTCCTGCCTCCCCTGTCCTTTCCCCCATTCCTCCTAAAACAAAACAAAACAAAACAAAAATGAAACAAACTAACAAAAAGACAAAGCTAAAAGGGTAGACTATCTTCGGTAGAATCAGTAGCTGTTTCATTTTCATCTTCTCTGAGATTATGTGGCTGTAAGAATGTATGCATAAGTTGCAAACAAAGGTTTCAATTTAGGAGCAAGAGTGCATTTACTGATCCTGAGAGTAACTGAGACCCGTAACCAGGGACATGGGATCGCAGTGCCTGGACATCTTAGCCCTGTTAGACTAGGTAAGGGAGAGGATATTTTAGCTTTGTTTAGAACAAGTGCAAAGAGTGGTTCTTACTTTCAGAAAATAGGGAGCGTCCCAACTCAGCTTGTCTCTCGTTCCTTTATTGCTTTTCTTCTGGGCCAGTTTTGTTGTTAGGTATCAAGTTGTGCAAATGCCGAAGAAAGTGTAATATTCCTGTGAGATAAGAGTAATGGAGATTTCTTTTCTGGATTAGAAAAATAGCAAACTGTTTCTCATTTTGTGTTTTTTTCTTTCTTCCTTTATTGCTTGTTACTGAATAGAAATGTACTACAGTACTAATTAATTACTACTAACATACTAATTAAGCTGTGGTTGAATTAACTTCAGCTAATAAGTAATAAGTAGCTTTTGAAACTGCACAGCAAGCTGCTGAGAGCGTGTAAACACTGACAGGCCAGCTGCACAGGACACAGAGCTTCACCCCAGGGGTGCTTTTCACATGGAGGCGCAGCACACAGTGGGGCCTTGTGGCCTCATGTGCCCTCTGCATGTGTACTTCTCTTTGCAGTAATTTCTCAGGGGAACTGTCTTACTCACTTTTCTTGTTGCTGGGACAAAATACCTGACACCTATGAGTTAAAGGAGGAAAGGTTTATTTCACAGTTTGTAGAAGTTTCAGCTCATAGTCAGCTGGCCTTAAGGCAGGGTGGCACGGCAGAGGGGCGTGGAGAAGGAGAAACAGCTCATGGCAGCAGGCAGGAGGCAGTGAAGCAGCAAGCAGCTATAATGGCAAGCCTGCCTTGCTTTATTTTCCCTTACATGTACCATCCAGGCTACAAGCTTGTTGGTTGGTGCCACCCACACCCTGGGCGGGTGGAGGGGGGCTTCCATTTTCTACACCCTCAATCTCACTGTCACAACCTTAATCCACATTCATGTACCCTAATCCAGCCACTCTTGAAATTCCCCACCCATGAGTGCATTGAGCCTTTGGGGGGGCTATCAAGATCCAGACTGTGACAGGGGTGACAAACCTTCTGTGATTGCAATGCTATTGCATTGGTAAGAGCTTTGGTTTTTCATATAAATAGGATTTGAATAATCTCCCTTTGTGATCTGGTCCATACTTATAATTCTAGCAATCTGGGAGGCTGAGCCAGGAGGATCATAAGTTCCAGTCCAGCCTGGATAACACAGTGAGATCCTGTCTCAGAAAAAAAGAAAAAAGAAAAAAAAGGAGAGGAGGAAGTGAGTGTGGATGTGGCTGAGTGTGAAGGCCCTGGATTCACTCTCTAGTACAAAGGGGGAAAAATTCCTTGCTGTCATGAAAGGAATAAGAGGCTGCTATACTAAGGCCTCAGAGGTACATGTTGTATTTGGGGCCAGGCAGCCCAAATGTCAGTATTAAAATCTTCATCAGAAGTTGAACGAACATTTAGAAGGTGGGGTAGGCTTTTGAGGAGATCCAGAGCACTGCTCAGAATAATGTTTGAAGAATGCTTTCTTATGGTGTGTGACGAAAATGAGGCTAAGAAACTCAGATGCTTACCTAAGTTTTGTAAGTTAGGCTTTGAAAACAGAGGAAGGGCCAGGATATAGCTCAGTGGCACAGGACTGCCTGGCAAGTATGAGGTTATGAGTTTGATTCCCAGTACTAGAATTAAACAAAACATAAAAAAAGAAAAAGAAAACAGAGAAAGGGACCAGGGACTATTGTGAAAATTAGAGACAGTGATGCGAAAAGGAGCAGCAATTTGCTTAGGTTCTCAGTGCCACAGAGTGTGGAGAACTAACGCAATTATTAGTAAGATAATTTGAAGATAATTGGAATCATAGTTTAAAATTAAGTTTTCTAAAGTAAGTACAGTTGTGTTCTTGTACTAGGGGTCCAGGAAATAGAATCGCCCATAAAAATACAGCTCCTGCAATGCGTAAAAATAACCCAGACTATAACACTAGAGAAAACTTTATTAAACTCTTAGAAAATGATTGAGCACTTGCCAGTACTTTACTAGCTGTTGACTGTGTGATGATAACCAGAGCCCCTGAACTTTCTGGGTGGTAACGCAGGTGTCACTGGACTAAGGTGGAGCCATGGGGTGGGATGCACTGTCTGGTTCATTAATGATGAGGCCTGGAACATGTTGGTAGAGAGCAGCAATAGGATTGGGCCTTAAAACCCAGAAAAGGTAAAAATGTCCACAGGAGGAAGGTGACCAGTAGAAATGACAGGCTCTAAAAAGATCTTCAAGAATGAGGGTTCTACCATTTTTTCAGGAAAGTTAGTATAGACCTCCTAAGTAGTGAAATTCAGGGGTAGAAATCTAAGCTGTAACCAAAAAGAATTGATAGTGGGGCTGAAGAGAAACAAGAACTCTCCATAGACTATAAATCATGTTTCTGCATATTAATTTAGTGGGGAACAATATTCTTTTGTCCCTGCATAGTGATCTGCTTGGGTTGCTGAGAAATGGCTATTGTTATCCTAGCTACTAGCTATAGATTCCGAGGTACTTTATTTATTTTATTTTTTACTCTCACCTTCAAAGGAAGGTAGAGCTCGACCCTTTTTAAAGGCAGCAAAGTAGCATCATGCCAGTAAATTAACTTGCTCAAGTTCACATAGAGTCAGTTATTCCTAACTTTAGGGCTGTTTCTAGAGAATGGAGCCTACTGCTTCTTCAGACAAGTAAGTGGACAGGCAAGAGCTTCAGAGTACATTTAATTAAACTTGTTGGTAAACATGTTCCAGGAGAGGAAGAAATTGCAAATGATTAAAACTGCAGTGACTTTTGTATTTCATTAGTATTTAAAACTTTTAATAGGTATAACAATTTTTCTTTCATTTTTAACTCTGAAAAGACAGTTGAAGTGGTTGAAATGTTTAATCATTCAGAAAACTTGACTTTAATATTAATCAGAGATGAACTGGAATTTCCATTTTTTATTAGCCTTCTGGTTGTAGTTTCTATAAAAAAGCCACAAGCAGTTATTAGAGAAGACTATTCTTGCTGATGGTATAAAGAGTGTCTGTAATGTGTGTTTGTTTCCAAAGGAATAGTGGAATGTAAGGGATCTGAATGATAGTGACATGATGTTAACTACTGTTGTCTCCTGACCCTTTCTCTCTCTGCTCCTCACAGATACTTCTTGTGCCTTCAGCTCCGGCAGGACATTGCCTCTGGTCGCCTGCCTTGTTCCTTTGTGACTCATGCTCTTCTGGGGTCCTACACACTGCAGGCTGAACTTGGAGACTACGACCAGGAAGAGCATGGCAGTATGGACCTCAGTGACTTCCAGTTTGCCCCTACTCAGACTAAGGAACTGGAAGAGAAGGTGGCCGAGCTGCATAAAACCCATAGGTCTGTTGATTTGCTTGCTGGAGAGAGACTCATCATGGCAGATTTAAACAGTTTGTAATGCTTTAATTTGAGCACTGTTTCTGATATTATCCAGTTTTTCTTCTAGTGTGTCACCTAGTACTGATCATGGCAGTCTGCAGCTCTTGTGATAGTCTTTCAGTGTTTTTATGACTATAAAAGGAAAGTAAATGTATCCATTTTTTGGAAAAAATGTAGTCTTCCACATGATATTTTCATCTCCCTTCCCCCAGTTCCATCCCTTATCACACACATATACAGGAAACAAGTAGACCCATATACTTGTTTTGACATTTACCTTTCTTCTGCCTTTTATTACCACTGTGCTTGGTAAGAGAGCCAGGGAGATAATAAAGCACTGGGATTTGAACTAGAAGTGTGGGTGGTGGTGGTCATAGGAATAGTAACTGAAAGACACAGGTGAGTCCACTAAGCACAGATGCTGCCCTTGTTTAGGTGTGGATAATGTAAATTACTTTAATGCCATAGACACTTTGTGTACATTTTTTTTTTTTTTCTCTGTGAAAGTGGATATTTTCCATGAGTTTTTATAATGCTAGCTACAAAATTACAATTTGTTGTCTGCAAAATTAAAAGTTTTATAAAATACTGACTAAAATGATTTGGAAATAACTGTCAGAGATTCAGGTTTTCAAAAAGGGGCCAAATTTATTAACTTTTAAAAAATAATAAATGCAGTATTTGACTCTTAAGTATTTTCTTGTTTACTTTATACAAATTCTACTCAGTGAGTATTCTATAATTATAGTTTGAAATACCAGGTGCTGAAATGCCTCAGATAATGAAGACTAACGAGATATAATCCTGTCCTTTAGGAGACTAAAATATGTTTAGTTAGGGACATGTATTAGAATGGAAATAACTTCAGTATGAACAGGATATAGCATGTTCTGTGTATCATAGGTGTACAATCAAATACAAGTAATTCTGGCCTTTATGATGATCAGTCCTAGCAAAATACAAGTAAGGATATGAATGTCTACCTAAGAAAGAGGAAATCACTGTTTTATTCCTAGTTATGGTGTACCTGTTATTTCTAGGGCTTTTCTCCAGTGGAAATGATCCAAAGAAACCCTTTAAAATAAAAATGGTGAGGGTGAAAGGTATGCCTCTTTGCAGTGAGCAGGTTAAGCTTAGAGACTCTTCAGGGAGAATTCTAGTGGTTGAGATTATCTCACTTTTCTGCACTTAGCTGGGTTACTTTCTCTACCTCAGACTCTCCAAACTCACACTTCCCACACTTGAGCACATGTGCTCTGCATCCACCAGTAAGACAATAGTGTTTCTTTCGGTTTTTCAGAGGCCTGTCTCCAGCACAAGCGGATTCTCAGTTCTTAGAAAATGCAAAGCGGCTGTCCATGTATGGTGTGGACCTGCATCATGCCAAGGTACTGTAAATGTGATGGAAGCAGCACTGTTCCAGTCTGTTGGCTGAAGGCTGCACAAGACTGTTTCATTTGAAGGTCTCTGTAATGTTTCTTTTCTTTTTTAATTAAAAGAAATTTATACCAGTAAAAGATACATTGTCATTAATCCATCTCAAAATACTCCTCTTGCTTTGAGCACACATCCTATTTTTCTTGCCACTTTCTGAAGCAGTTCTGGAGGTCCTCCTTTGTGACAGTCTCTAGTTGTGCCCTTGTGGCTGCCCTCGTATCCTCAATTGATTTGAAACATTTATCCTTCATGGTCATTTAGACTTTGGGGAAGAGCTGGGAATCACAGGGTCTGGAGGATAGGATGGGTGAGGACGCACTGTGATGTGTTTTTATAAGCCTCCCTTTCCACTGAAGGGCACTCAGCAGTAGCATTCGCTGTGTTTCTTAAAAAAATTGTATTAGTACATATTTGTGATGCATAATGAATACATTTACCATGGTGAGTTGATAAATATTTTAACTCTTTCATTTCTTTCTGCTTTTTTTCCTCAACCTCTCTTCATTCTTAGATCCCCTTTCTATCTCTGACTCCTTTTAAGTATTTTCTGCAATGCTATTTTAGTGGCCGTGCACTTTTTTTTAAGCATTCTTTGTCGTGGAAAGCTGTAATCTGAAGGGTCTCTATCCTGGGACTCCGCAGCCCCTTGTCCCTGTGCCAAGCGCGTTGGGACAGGTGTGCACTGGGGGTGAGTGTTTAGTGGGCACAGATTGCAGCTTCCTGGCTATGGCTAGCGGTGCCTGGGCTCCGTTTGGCATCTCCTGTCTGGGCTTGGTCACCTCCCCCTGAGCGAAGCTCTGTGCTGCCTCCAGGGCGTCTGAGTTTGGATCTCCCTCTGTTAGCCTGGTTCGCTGCTGTGGATGTAGCAAGGCCAGAGTTTTCTGTCTGGGCTCTGGGCTTCTTCCTTTTTCCTCACCTTCTTTCCTCCAGAGATTGGATACCTTCCCCAAATAGCATGTTCACTAAAGCTAAGCTGTAAGCCAGGTAGCATCTGAGAAAAGCCCTTGCTTTTCCCTCGAGATACCCCTAAGGCTGAGCATTGACTGGGGTGGTTTTGTTTTGTTTCTTAATTTTCTTTCTGATGGGTTTTCCCTTTACCTCTGTTTCTGAACACCTGCAGGTCCTGGCAAGTGACCTCTAGAGTGACATGTGAGTGCTGTCAGCTCTAATCTTCTTCCCCTCCGTAATGTTTTCTTGGTGACTAGTTGTGATATTCTTGGTTGTGGGAAGATCGGTTATTCTCCTCATTCCTCTTTGTCTCTTCACAGATGTTTATTAATACCCTTCCCTAGGTACTTATTGTGAGACTCACCTTGGCAGC